CGATCGCCATGACACCGAACACAAGCAGAGGAGTTACTTGAATCTTGACGCGCGTTCTTTTCTCGAGCAGCCAGAAGAAGAAACCAGGGATCAGGACGCAATAGAGAAGAGTCCAAGAGATCGTAATCAACAGGAGCCTACAAATCTTGCCGCCGATGGATTTGTTTACAGACAAGGATGGCCAAACTCCGAGTACACTTAAAACGTGACGTGTTACTTTTGTGATGTACATAATATCATCTTGGTAATGTTCGTTACTCCGCATGTTTTTGCAAATTTTCGAAGGAAATCGTTTCGCAATTTAGTTTACGAGGGATTAGTTTTGAATGTGAATCTTCGCGCAAATTATCAGGAGCAAAATGAAATGTAAAGCTCGGGAGCTCAATCACAATTGACGATAACAGCGAGAGCCGAGAATAAGATAAATTCACCGTTTGCTTGCGCTTGCGCGACTTTAATATTCAAATTGTATGCGGGGAAGCAATCGAAAGTTCGAGCAAAGTTTGCTAATCAACTCTTTCGGCGAAAATCGAGACCGTTTGCGACGGTAAGTATTTCTGTTCGCCAACACGTATCCCCTTTTTCAAGAAAACTATAAATAAGATACAACTTTTTTCCTCTCTGTATCAAAAATTACGATTACAACCAAGGTAAGTTGACAGCAATTAATAATTTTGATTACATAGTGTAGAATGTTTTGATTCATATGCAAAAGTCAACGGGCGTAATAATGTAGTTCGTGTGTAGCGTATGGTCGATGTGCGCGTATGGTGTATTTAATAAATGTAAAATGTATATAAAAGAAAAAATAAAATTAATTCATTGCAATAATAGCAAAATTTTCTGTGATAATTCAATATGCAACTCGATATCGTACATTATTAACGATACGGCAAAACAGAAAAAATTATATATTTGCACGTATGTTTTTATCTCTTATGATAGAAATATATTTAAATCGGAACAATATATATATGTACATCACCGAATATTTTTTTGCATTTTACTCTCCTATTTTGCGGATATACAACATATATACACAAGATGTTTATCATTGCATGGTTTCATCAATCAAAAAAAATAGGTTTAGCCCACGACACGTTGATTTCGCAGCATATTAAAATATCACAAATGCTTTAACATCCTAAAACATAACATCATGCGATTACTAATAAATTATTATGTTATTAGATTATTATAAAGAATATAACAGCCCGGGTGCAATAAGTTTTAACTCGTTTAACATGCAGAAAATATATATATAAAATATGCAGATAATATATGCCATCCGACCGCGAATTGTATACTTTAAAGATTCAAATATTACATGGAAAGGAAAGGGTTCGAAAGCGACAAAGTTCGCGAAATAACTTATTCAACCCCGGCGAATGTCGAGATTAACTAGTGTGGAAAATATTTTTTTTATTCACCGACCCGTGTATACCTTTTTCAAAGAATTATGATTAGAAATAGTTCACTAGTGTCTTCAACTTTGTTCCTTCTTGTATCGAAACTTATAAAAAGAAAATTCTTTCAGATCCATTTCAATTATTGAACGTGAAAAAGGACTATCGTCGATATCGCTACGACAACAGATGGCTATTGACTTTCGTAAGATATTGACCTTACAAATGTAAATCATATCTACGTTGAAGAAGGGTGAATATAAGTGTAAATTTCTTGAAATTATATATTTGAATTAGAAGTACATATTCTATGTCTGTACATTACACTAATCTTTGCATTTGACACATCCATTGTACTAATATATAATATACGGTGTTACCATTGCATGCACAGTTCATATCATCATCTCGATTAAAGCACATATATTCAATCGGTTACGTTTCGAAGCATATTAAAATATGTCATAGATGCTTTGACCACCTAAAACACAATATGGCGCAATTGCTCGTTTAATATTACCAAACCATCTCGTTAGTCTCGATAAAAAGGTTATTAATTGCGAATGGTAAATATAAAACGTAGGAAAAACATTGTACATGCAAATAAAAGACGGACTATTTAAATCACATAAACTGTAAAAATTATTTACAAATATAATAATTCGATCACATAGTGTCCTGTAATATAAGATTATAGCAAACCATATATGTACAAATAGATTAACTTGAAAGTATCATCTTACGTCACCAAATGTTTTGAAGGATAGGTCCACGACTTTTCCGGCGGTGATCTTGGTTGGCGAGTTGGACATAATCATCACAAGCACAATGCCACGTGCTTTCCTGTCCGGAAGACGGTACCACTCAAGCTCGCACGACGTAATAGCTACTTTTTCCGCCTGTTATTAATATTATCAAACACGCTTGGAGCAAAAATGTACAGATTGATAAATAAAAATCTCAGTGATATCGATATTTTTAATAACAAGACATCAATTTCTCTTTTATAAAACAAAAAATATCGTTATATTATTTGCAATCAATAAAAAATTTCACTTATAGATGCACTATATAATATCAGTTATTATACAATGACATCTACTGTTAAGATCTCGCAGGTCAACTCGAATGAACATACCTGAATGGTAAGTTGTTCACCAGTGTAACAAAACATAAATACATTTATCATAATGGATATTAGTGTTATGAAATAAGTGCACATAGCTATTGCGTTGCTGTTCTCCCATTCCTATAAATGTGGGATTTTAATGCAGGCACGATTAAATCATATACAAATCGATAAACAAAATTACAAACCATTATTATACAATATCCTAGAATGCAGACGATTAACGTGCAACCCATTAATTCTATCAAACATACTTGTTGCATAGTGTGCTCCACTAAACGCAAAAAACTGAAATGTGGTTATGGATAATATGAAATATTTCTGAGAGAAACGGAAAGTAGATTGAAAAATTACTGTTCACATGCGCGGCGTACAACGTTAATAATAGCAATCATTATTATGGTAATGACATAGATTTAATCAAAATTACATGTCACAAAAACACTCACTTTCGTATTCGTATTTGATATTCGACCATTTCTGCCAGCTTCCGATCAATACTTTGTCTCTCATGCGACTGTTCCTCGACAAAATGTCTCATCAGATTCATCAGTATTTTCAGCTGACCACAAGCATGCATCACCAGGACAGCTGTGAGACCACACACGCCTGTCGTAATCGTGTGCGTAACTAAGCCCGAAAAGAACTGCATCGCGAAAACCATCTCGTAATTCGGGCTGACTTGCGCGTCGAAGGAGAAAAAATAACCCGGACAAGGCAAGGGCCTGATCGTGATGTTCTGCGCGGTAACGA